GGGAAGGTGTATCGATTATGGTGAACTCTGTCTTTATCTTCCTGGTGCCAGCCTGCACCTCCAAGCTTGTTGCTTCCAGTGGCCACGTCGGCGCTCCATTGAACCCGACCATTGGGCCATTGCTTTGCTCCATATCGTCTAGGTGAAGGCCAAGCTCCTTGTAATACCTAACATACATGATGTCACAAGAGCTGCCTTGGTCGATTAGGATGCGCTTCACTTGGCACTCCCCAACCTGGAGGGATACTACCAAGGCATCATTGTGCGGATGTTGGACCATTTCAAGGTCGGTTTCAGTAAAGGACACTACTGGTCCTCGATACTCCTCGGCCCGATGTCGTTTTTCCCCAACTTGGTACACATGCTGCAAGTGCTTCACCTTCTGGGTTTCCCCCCGTATACATACATGATGTCACAAGAGCTGCCTTGGTCGATTAGGATGCGCTTCACTTGGCACTCCCTAACCTGGAGGGATACTACCAAGGCATCGTTGTGCGGATGTTGGACCATCTCAAGGTCGGTTTCAGTAAAGGACACTACTGGTCCTCGATACTCCTCGGCCCGATGTCGTTTTTCCCCAACTTGGTACACATGCTGCAAGTGCTTCACCTTCTGGGTTTCCCCCCGTATTTCGTTTTCGTTGACCTTCGAGTGAATTATATTAATTACCCGAGGTCCTCCTGCCTGTGGTTGTTGTGCTGGGGGTGGTGGAGCTGTTGGTGCCTGAGGTAATCTTGTCTGCTCTTCCCTTGTCCTGGCTTCATCTACAAGGTCTCTCAGATGACCTTGCCTTACCAGGTCTTTCAAGTGTGCCTTCAGGGCTCTGCAACCCTGAGTCATATGCCCATCTTCGTTATGGTAAACACAATGCTTACCAAGGCTTCTTCCTATAAATTCTCCTGGCACCCTAGCTGGTGCTCTAAAATAGGGCTGTGATCGAATTTTGTCCAAGACTTTGTGAATTGGGATTCGGAACACAGTTGTGACTGCCTGTGCAGCCCTCAGTCCTATCTCTTGCTTGTTGGATCCGTTATTACCTCGGCCTCGCTTCAGCGAGCCGTTTCCTTTTTCTTGCTTTGTCTCCTTAGTTCCTGAGGTGTCTTCCTCGACTCTGGCATACTTCTCAATTCTGGCCATGAGCTCTTCCATACTTTTTGGCAATGTCTTTGCCAAAGACTTTCATAGTGGACAGTCATCTTTTAGGCCGTTCTTGAAAGATACGACCGCCACCTCTTGGTTGCACTCGGTTATTTGGTTGAACACCTTATAGTACCTTTTTGCATAGACCCTAAGGCCTTCATCGTTGCTGATTCTCAGAGCCATCAAAGCATCTACCCTTAATGGCTGTAGTTTGTTTGTCACGAACCTGGCCACAAACATCTCAGCTAGGCCTTCCCAGGTCTTCACATTTCCCTTTGGCAATTTGTGAAACCAATCTGATGCAATCTCCCCGAAGGATGAGGGGAACACCTTGCAGAGCAACGGTTCGTTCCCAGTGTATAGTGCCATCGAGTTCAGGTATAATCCGACGTGAAAGTTGGGGTCCGACTTTCCGTCGTATATCTGGAATCTCGGCATACTGAATCTTTTTGAGGCCCCAAATTTGTCCAACTCCGCCGAGAATGGTGTTTTCGGCTTAACAGGGGACGTTACCTCGGCATCTTGTTGCTTTCTCTTGAGGTAATCTCTCAAGTCCTCCTTTGTCCGCCCAGGAGCTCGACTATCTCCTGATTTCAACCTTTTTGGTGCACTACTTTCGGCTTCGTTGTGAGCCCTCTTCGACCTTTCTCCATTAGTTGTGTCGAAGCACAGCGCCTATCCTTGAACATGCCGATGTTCTTTGGGGTCTGCCTCCTTAGTGTGATGTGTCCTTCGAGACTCTTCCCTCCTCGACTCTCCTTGCCCGACCTCCCTTGAAGGCCGGTGAGAGTGTCTTTCACTCCTGGTGTGCTGGAAGGCTATAGGGAGTGTTTTCTGCCCTCCTTTCTGGGCATTGGCCGCTGGAATCGGCGTGTCGTGCAGTGGGAATGATGGCTGCATGACGTTGTTTTGCATCATAAAATTGACAACCGATTGCAGGTCTGCCAATTTATTCGCCATCTCTTTCACCTCTTCGTCCCTCCGCAGGCATCTATCCTTCCATACCTGGAGGTTGTCCTTGTTGTAGTACCCACTTCGATTGGTTTCTTTGGTACATTGCAATCCTGGCCGACGTCTTTCTTTCCGTGATTCTGGTTTTAAGCCTCCTCGTTGCAACCATCTTCCTTCATATTAGGATCAACGTGTTTACCGTTCCCAGCAGGGGTTTCATCCCCAACCTTATCCTTCTGTCCGTCGCTGGCCATCTATTCTCCTTTCTTTCCCACAGACGGCGCCAAATTGTGTGAGTGAATTTCTGATCACACTGCCAACTCAGTATTCAGTTGGAGAGCACTGACAGAATAGATGGCACCTGATTGACCTGCAATAGAAATGAGAGATTTCGGCGGTGATTCGTCTACCCAGGGGCACTCCGACGATCAAGTCAGTTATCTCTTAAAGATAAACTAAGAGCTTAACTCAGTATTCAGAATATAAATTGCGTACTTTAGACCCATGGAGATGCCTCTCTTTTTATAGTTAACTCAATCCTAACCCCAATAGAAGCCTAGCTTCCATGGACTTTTAGCTCAATGCTCATCTTGCACTCTCCAACAAATAAAGATAAACTCTCTAAGAGCTTTATCCTTATCTAAGCTGAGATCCCTCTTCATTCTAGGATTCTTATCCCTTATCCGCTTATTCCAGATTCTGATATCTTCGGAGATCTCCTCGGCTTAGCTGAGATCACCTCGGCATCACGACCAGGACACGTGACATCTCAGCTGACACGTCAGCGTCACCTCGATTACGTGTTGGTACTCAAAAAATATATCCCCACAATTAGTATTATGTTTTATATTTGCCCTTTTTGAGATATTTTTTCCCCAAAAAAGTGAATACATTGTTTAGGGCAACTCATTACCGAGACAATTTTTTAAAGATTGACCTTGGATTGTCAAAGTCAACTCAAATTTTCATGTAAGCTAAGTTTGGGTAAACTAGTTTGGGGTCGAATTTGGGAATATCGTTATATTATGTACAAACATTCACGGTGTGTTTAGTTTGATTTTTGGAGATAAATTTTTTTAAAAAAAAATTTGAGAAAAGATTTTAAATTTTTTTTAGTTTGTTTGGTTGTATATTTTGAAAATAGTTTTAGAGTACAAGAGTTTAGAATGATTTGATATTTTGTTATAGTTGAGTAGATATGTATGTGACAGACAGAAAAAATGATTGAGAAAGAGAGAGGAGAGAGAAAAAGTGATTGATTGATGTATAAGAAAGAGAAAGTGATTTTGAAAAAAAAATTCAAAAAATTTCTAACCAAACAAAATTTTGAAATTTTTTTCAAAAATTATGTTTTGAGAGTTAAACCAAACAAGACCTTAGTCCTTGTTTGGCAATAAATTTTTTAGTTAATTTTTTTACTTCTTAACTATTTTAATTTGAGACTAAAAGTTTGCTTAGTTAGACATTTTTTACTTTTGTGAAAAAAAAAATAATAATAATTATGGTTTGGATATGACATTTTATCTTATTGACTTATTTAAAGCCTCGTTTGGCAAGTTTTAGCCTAAAAATCAAAAAATTACTAAAAAAATCAAAAAACCTATAACATATACAAAAAATTCAAAGATTACAATTTCTCTCTACTTTTTGCACATCTTTTCGTAAAAAGCCAAAAAATCAACCTAAACATACTAATTTTTTTTACCTCAAATTGTAACCAAAAAGTCAAAAAATTACTAAAATAACCTATTCTATTTCTCAAACGAGAGTCTATTTTATCTTTTATACTTTTTTTAGTCAAAAAATTTATTGCCAAACAAATGCTCAAGTAATAACTTAGAGACTAATGAAAAAATATAATAATTAATAATTATGCTTTATGCTTTGCATTCTGTTTAAGATTGTAAAGTGAAATTAAACCATTAATAGTGTCAGATAAGATTTATTTTAATTCTATGAAACCGACTATTTTTCATGGGCATTCAAGGAGACCCTTTTTTTCTTTTTCATTTTTTTGTCATCTCAAATCACTGAATCAAATTCCATTTTAAATTCCACACCCACCAAACAGCTCTTCCATTTTTAAATGTTAACTCCAAATCCTACCATAGACTATTATTTATTGAGTCATTTTAAATTTGAGTATCCTTCTTTGTTATATGTAATCAATTGCAAGTAGGGGCTTCAATTCCATCCTTATGAGGAGAGGAAAGGAAAGGCTGAAGCTATGGTTTGGACAGTCTCCATCACTACCTTACATTTGCACTGTCCACCCTTTTGGCCCTGTTTGTTTTTCTCGGATTGGATTACCAATTTCATAAATCCCACAAAAAAACATGTTTGGTTAGAAAAAAATGTTACCCCTCATTTTACAAAACAACAAAGTGAAGTTCTAAGAACTTTTACGTAATTTCATAAATTTAATCTCAATCAACTAATATCACTATACTAGTGTACAAACAAACACAATTTATTTTACATTTCCAACCTAATTTCACAACACTAGTAATCCTTTCACTGAATCTCACTGTACTCATAATCTCATCCAACCTAATTCGACAAACAAATAGAGCTTTTTAAGTTAGGTAACCCCAACCAATTTTCTTTTCTTTTGTGTTAAATCAAAGTCATAGGCAGGAAAAGAGACCCTGTTTGGTAATACTTATAAAAAAATAATATCAAACACATTCTTCAATCAATGATCTAGTGCTTCAATTTAAAAAATTTACCCTCCACAAAACTGCATCAAATATGCCAACTTCTATATTGTTGGCAATATACCAACATAAAAGTATTAGACTCCAGGGTATGAACCAATCACACTCGAGTTGAGGGACCATGTGGCAATGTCCCAGCAACACCCAATAACTTCTCTGTATACTGCTAATCCAACAAATATAGAAGGGAAAGAAATCAAAGATATATCAAACTCACCATTACTAAAAAGTGGTTTCAACCACTGAAACAAGAAGTTATGCTTTTTCTTTCCCTTCAAATGGGGGCTTTGTATTTTCAATGATTACAAATTTGGTATGATAAGTTTTTGAATTCCCCCAACACGTAACTTTCTCTCACTTTCTTTTCCAATTTTCTTTCACAAATGAAAATCATTCAATGGATTGTCCATCCCAGCACAAATTCAAGTAATGCAGTACAAACAGAAATCAATGACTATGGGAAGTACCTCTCATTCAAGGTTTGGCATCCGAGAAACTCTTTCAATTTCCTTGATGATCAGTTCCTTTTCCTCTTCAAATTCATCGTCATCAGCACCTGCAATATATAATGAATTAGCATGACATAATACAAAAATCATCGCTAGAAACAGCTGTGCTCTTAAAACGGACATGATCAAGTATGTAAGCACCTTTTCCAGGAGAGAGATTGTGAAGCAAGGCCAGCAATCTTTCATGATTTTTAGCCAGGATGACTTTTATTTCTCGAGGCTTGTTAGGGTTGGCCACAAAAATCTGTAGGTCAAATAACTAGAGCAAGTTAAAAGTGAGCGTTTGGACATGCATGGCCCTTTTCTTACAATGTAATCCAGGGAAAGTAATTAATGCAGTAACATGTGGTTTATTAATCAAGCAGTCAGCCATAATGATTTTCGAAACTAACAAAATAACACATGCAATTAAAGGGGAGACCCACCATCCATACTAAATGCAACACAAGGGCTCTTAAGAACTTGCACACCCTCCGTGCGCCTAAATCAAGTAATCCGTGTGCCTAGGGTGGTGGATCACACTCAAAATCGTGAACTTGCAGATTATGAGCAAATTCGTGCCAAATTCATGGACTGATTTTTGTCAGTCTGTGTATTTATCGCTACGAGTTCATGAATTTCCCTTCTTTTTTTTTTTTGAATAATAACTAACGGTGGGTGCACAGGGGATGTGTGTGCAAATGTATGTAGTTGAGAAATGAAGAAGATGAATAGTTGAAATTTGGAGGATCTGAATCAGTTTTTTAACATAGGAAGTTTTAAAACTGTCATGGGCATTTTCGGAAAAGCAAAATATGTGACATCTACACTGTAGGCTTTAAATAATAGTATAGATGTACACTTGTTGCACTATTGTGCGTACTTCACGCACAAACAAAGAAGCATGAGTGAGGCTGTGCACGCAAACCAACAACCACCATGTGATCTGTGATCTGTGATCTGTTACGACAGCACATGTATGTCTTGCTCTGGGAGTCACTAAGCTACCTTATCTCCTAGACACTTACGATGATTGTTTTATGTAAGGAAATGAAATTTGACTCGATAAAAAATTTTCTTCTGTACCTATAACAAAAGAGAATAAAACACATCAAGTTAAATACTAGGTAGATTAATATATAGACACTTCAAAGGTGCTCTTAATCCTATGCATTTTTAAAATTGATGCTTTCGCACTCTTGCTCTCACATCTGCTTGCCGAACTGGAGACTTAGGTCTGGCCCCATTCTTCTTGTTCTTCGTTTTTATTTATTTATTTATTGGTGGGCTTGGGAGGAAGAGGGTGTTTGTAAAAGTACAATCCTTGACAATATGGAATGCAGAGATCTGGAAGACAAGTTCAGCACCTTAAAAATGTGGAAAGCAGAGATCTGAATGTTTTTGCTTGAATCCTGCTCAAAAGCAAATATGAAAACAAAACCAAAGAAGAAAGAGAGTAAGGCAAGGTACAATGACAAGAATTTTTGTACATTTCATGCATTCATAAATATCTTCATGGGTGCAACACAAAATTAATATACTATAGCTGAGTAACAAGAAGACCATCCAGGATTAATAATCAGATCAAAATTTGAAATTTACTATAAGGCCAACTTTGACCATCTAATTGAAGGATATGTTGATTCGCATGGCAGTACTAGAAAAAAAAACATGCCACACTTGACTCATCTTATTGCAAAAGGTTCAATTTTCATTAACATTGTATTTGTGTCATTAAGATGGGCATTACGTACTGGCTGAGCTGGGTTAAGGGTTCAGCAAAAAGAAAAACAACTGTTAGATAAGTCAATGACATACCAATTTTTTGTGTGACAAAGTTCCTTAACAATGATAGGATATGAAATGGTAGCAACAAAAAACATGTAAAATTACAGAACGAAGTTGACCTAGAAAGAAGGAGCCAAAAGGAACTAAGCAAAACACAGTGAAAGAAATGAAACAGATGAGAATCTGAATTAGTGTAAGACATGTAGCTGATTTTAGCGAATATTTAAGTACATAAGCATCACCAAAAACTGTTGATAATGGTATATCCAGAACTACCTATTCATCAGGCAAACTGAAGAATGCCAAAAGCATTAGATAAAATTAAAAAAATCAATACCTTCAGCAATGTCATCATGACTTTTAAGAATCGAACTTCAACAATGTAGCGCTTCATAATATGAGAATTTGGAAGCTCCAAAAGAAATTCCGAGAGAAGCTAAAAACCACTAACATCCTATAGTTAACAAATCTTATAAAGAACAGAACTCAGAGTGAGCAAATTCAACAAATCAGAGGAACAGCTAACCTTCAAAGATTGTCTTCTAGTCACATAGTTAGAGGATGCCAAGAGCTTCTCATATTGCTCGAAGAACTGAAATAACAATCATTAATTAGATAAGCCAAAAGAGACCATGGACAGCAAATGTACCAAGATAAATGTGAAGAAGAACATCTTCATTTCCTGGACGGTGCAGGTGTGCATGATCAGGAATTTTTCAAGATGGCTATAGAAGTCCCAGATAAATGAGATTTCCACTGTGAAAAAACTCAATTGGAACATATTTTAACTGTGGCAACCAACATTTGAGGGTGGCTAGATTTGTTCAGAACCTTAGTGTAAGAAAGCTGAATAAGCAAACCTCATCATAATGAGCAGTCAAGAATTCAGAGACTGCAGTTTCATGTTTGGTAAGGAGATCCTGTGAAACATGAAAATGGGCATCAAATTTTACAACCAAAATAAGTAATTACTGAGAATTTTAGATTCATAGATCAGACCTTAAAGGTAGAAAAAGCATCAGAAGCAATATCAAAGTTAGGCAGCTCCACATATTTGAAGAACAACTCAAAGCTTGGAGACTCCAATATATATCTGAAAATCACTACAGAAATTATAAGTGGAAAATGAAACTTGCTCATGTAATAAAATACTGCATGAAAACTACAATTTTCCGAAGGAGGCAATGACTGCAAAATGAGGCCTTAACTCTGAATGCTACAGTGATCAGTTCTCAGATATGTATGCTCTACTCTGTAACTCCTTTCCCAGCTTGTAATAGTACTAGGTTTCAACAAATGGCAGATTTTTATTTTTATTTTTATTTTTTAAATTTGTTTCAATAAAATGGAAAATATATTTTTCATTGAGAAAACACCAAAGGAGGTTTTAGAATACTTGAGCTTCATGAAAATATAAAAAATCTTATTCCATCATTCATAAAGTGTGTGCATTCATGCGTCCAAACCAATTGAAAATCAGCAACGTGCCACAATTTTCAAGCACTTCAACATAGAATTCAGAGTTCAAGCCTCTTTCTAATGCGTCATCTTTAGACAAGCATCAATGAGTAAGCCTTGGCAGACTTTTAAAGTTATGATTAGATAGGATAGGAATAACAAGAACACCAGTCTCTGTTCTTATTTTAGTAATAAATGCCAACTATTTAAGCTTCATTAGCTGGAAATATTGCAAATAAACCAAGCACATCTGCACAGAAGAAAAGGCCTTTCCATACTTCTCCTGAACTCCTATCTTTATAAATCCCAATATATCTTTTTGTAATACAAAAGTAGCAAAAGTATTTAGTGATATTAACATCAATTTTAGCAAGAAAATAAGGACCTTAAAATAATAACTGAAGTAGAAAAGTAAAAAAGCATGAGTGTCTTACTTTGCAAAAGTCGGGAGTTTGATGCATTCCCTTAACACATTTCCACAATTCAAGGCAATTTCCTTGTTATCATAGCTGCTTGAAAAACATATAATAAGTACTATGCAGACCATACCACTTAATCAAAACAACACTGTACTAAATACGAAATGGGCAATTAAGAACTCAACCAATCATACAAAATTCCCTACATTGTTCATGTAGGCTAAAAAGCTAATTGGGCATTATTACCCATGGTAAATTGATGCAAAAATGAAAATTACGAATAGGGCTTCAATATTATTAACATGATATATGTGAAGATATGCTAAAATCTTCATAAAATTACCAATAAAAGCCAGAAAGATCATAAGCATATTAAATAAGAAGTAACAACTGTATCAAAAACTGAAGTAATAAAAAAGCACTAGTTGCCAAACATTAAAGATTTTGCTTCTTAATGTTTGCTTTTAACATGACTACAACTGATTTTCTTTAGTAACTAGGTGTTTCATCAGCTTCAGTTGTCTGCAAGATTATTATGAGTTTTCTTCTTTCATTCCTCGTAGTATTGAGCAACTTGATATCCAAGGTCCAGAAATTAAACCAACAATTTATTGGCTTCCTCATGGAAGCACTTAGGCTGTCCCCATATTAGGACCACATGAAGGTGGCAGAAAGGGACCAATTCCCTCGTAAAAAGTTACTCTAATACAATTAAAAAAAAACTCCACCATGCATGAGTGCCAACAGGAAGAACAAAAAAAAAGAAGAGAAAGCACATACAAATACATTAAAGAAAAAACATTAACCTTACCATGCAACGAGAAAGTCTAATAACTCTAAATGTTTCTCTAAGTATAGCACACAGCAACAAACAGAGTCAACCTGTTGCTTCAACAATATGGACCAACAGTGAACTAAATCTTTTCTTGCCTGTGTCAAAAATTTGTTATCATTGTGCAAGTAAATAAGCTAATGCATGACACTGTGTGGTTGATCATGATAACTTACTTCCCATCCCAGTATAGGTAACTTGTGAATGAAAAGAGCAATAACATCTTCTTTACAGATTTCAAGCGTCAGCTGTGAAACCTGATCCATGTTTGGTTCAACCTCCCCATCTCCACAAAGCATAAGTCTCATTGTCACAAAGTTCTTCTCAACCTCTTCCAAAGCCTGCAGACATATAATGAGAAAACAGCTTAACAGAGACTTACAATGACTACCGTTAGCATCTTCTTGTTTTCTTCTCTTTTTATGTCATCCTTCATGGATCTACAATGACAATTGTTAGTATCACACTCAATTTGTTTGAAATAGGTGCCTTACAATTTTAACTATTTGTTTGAATATTTCAAAATGAATTGGTAGCCACTGAATTGCAAGTTTTTCTCCCTGTTGCCAACATAGGGCTACAGCAACAGTACTAATTTATCAACAAAATGCACTCTCCACAAATAAAGAAATATAGAAATAAGTGCTTCACCCATCTGCATAAGCCTGCATGAAAAACAAGCCACTGCAAATGCTTCAAAACATTTGCAGCATGTCTCATGGGAGGTTGGTAATTTGACATTTGACAAGCAGGAAACCAGTTAAAGATGGAAGTCATTCCCCCACCTACAGAACAATCACTCCTACCTCAAAATTAAGGTATTCACAAGTTGATTCCTCGATTGAAAATAAAGCTAAATGTAAACACATATTATGTACTTCTTGCTAAAACTGAAAAACTATGTGGTTAAAAGGTTTAGAGCTGAAATCCTTACGAGCTCAATTTTTAATTTTGAAAACTTAAGAACAAATTATCCATTAAGATAGGATTCAAGTCAAGAATCGAATATCAGGCTCCACACAAAACATGGAGTAAAGGTAGCCAACCTGCTACCTCTCCTAGACCTCCCAAACTCTGTTGTAAGTAGGAGTTTTGTGCATTGGGTATGACCTTTTTTTATTAAAATTTGAAACCGCATTATGGTGAACATGTTCAACATTCAACAAGTCTCTTCGATTTAAAGTTGACTCTCTAAAACAAATATTCATACTTGAGTTATCATTTAGTATGCAGTATCAAACACAATTAGTGGAAGGATTGTACAAGATACCACAAAAGAAAAATTAATAAACTTTTTTTTTTTTTTACTACATAAAATGACATAAAAAGGTTGATTTAAATGGTTTGCCCACGTGCAATGTAGACGAATGGTTGGACAAATAAGAAGTGATTTGAACCAAGTCAAAGATACTAATAGGCCCAAGAATGGGCTAGCATGGTTAGAAAGGACATAGCTGCCTTGGATTTGACCAAGGCTCTGAATAGGGCCGAGTGGATAAAATGAGTCCAAGCAACAGACACCAAGCAATTTGGATTCAAGCTAGTTGAGTTGAGTTGTCGAGTAAAACAAATAACACATAATAACCCCCTATTAATAATGCTACCTAATGTCGTAACAATACAAGCCCCTAATTCCATTCCTAAAACTTCCAAAGTTTGAGGATATGATATAAGGACACATCTTGGTTGTCATGGCATATAGTTCAGGTTATTTATTAAGGTTACAAACTTCCCAAAGGACCCAATGAGGACTTTAAAATGGCAAGAGATCTCACATATGGCTTGCTAGTTATTGTACATATGTATATACTGATAAAAGTTTATTATAAAAAATTCAGTTATGTGTTTAATTAGAACAGAAATGAAACTCAGGGTACACAATTCAATTCATAATAATATTCATCTTTTGTATCAAGGTAATATACTAGCCAAATTTTCTAAATTTTAAACAAATCTAGCAAATATTCTGCACCGGATATTGTGATCTCTTACATGTTGTATTCGGTATTCTTGTATCTAAGCATCCTTTAGCTCCCCGCATATCTCGAGATTTACAAAATCAGTATGAGTTTGTCATTTTGGCATAAGCCATTGAATGTTCATTAATGCTACATAATCTTTGATTTTACCTCTTTCATGCTTTAGCGGGTAAAAGATAGAAGAGAAAAGAAAGAAAGGAGAAATTTTCATTTCCTTTCCTTTCCTTTTCTCTCCTAAATTACATAATCATTTCTTTTTGTTTTCTCTCCTAAGTTCCCAAACAAAGTGGAAAATTCAATCCTCGCAGCCTCACTAAAGAGTAAAGTTTTGTTTTTTCGGGGATAAATGACTAATGTGGAGCAAAACTGTCAAACAATTATTCAATTCATTGACACATCAATGCATAAAATTCAATCAACATTTGTATTGATGACAACAAAAACAATAATAATAATCACAGATAAGATAATAATGTAAATTATGATTAAAAAATTCAATTAACAATTGTAGAGAAATGCGTAAAGACCTGAGCATGTACAATTGTTACATGCATACATGAGAGAGGAGAGAGGAGAGAGGAGAGAGAGACCTTCTTGAGAGATTGAACCTCGGCGACAGTTTTGATGTCGAGGGCCATGAGGCTGTCCTGGATCGCTTTGACGAGCTCTTGAGGAGTTTTAGGCCTCGAGGGCTTGAAGAATGAGAATGACATGATTGATCGATTTGATCGATCGATCAACTCTTCCTCTCTCTTTCTGTCTCTCTCTCTCCCAACTGGCTCCAAGCTCTGCTTCTCAGTGTACACTGTTGTAAATTACCTGATCATATGGGAATGTAGGTTTTTTATTTTTTAATATCGAATGTGAATGATAGTATAAAAATAATATAAAAAAAAAGTGTAAATTACAAATATATTTATGATTCTGAAAATTATATTCTACCCTTTAAAATTTTTAATTTCATAATAAATTATTCTTTTTATTAATAAATTATCAAGTTAATTAATATTTTTCAATAATATCATAAAAATGTTTCAATTAATAATTTAAGTAATTTTATAGTATTGTATAACAGAGCAATTATAATTTTATTTTTTTATCAAGTTAATTAATATTTTTTAATAATATCATAAATATGTTTCAATTAATAATTTAAGTAATTTTATAGTATTGTATAACAGAACAATTATGAATTTTATTTTTTAGTTAATCCTGTTAAATAAAAAAATTCTAACAAGGGATATTCGTAATTTTTCAAATTACAGAGAGTAATCTAAACTTTAAGCAAATCTTAAGATGTGTATTTGTAATTTATCCTTAAAAAAATTAAAAAATAAAGTCTCATAAAGTAATAATTATAATATGGGAATTCTAATATGTAACATTTAAAAGAGATGTATCATATACATTCTTATTTATGTCAATTTTTTTAGTCATAACCAATTTTTATTTAATTATAACTCATGATATTTTTAGTTATATGAGATTTTTAGTTATGCTTCATATTTTGCTTAGTTATGAATTATGATATTCTTTTTTAGTTATGACTTAGAAAGTATGAAATTATGTCATTTTCTTCTTTAATTATAAGGTGCAAATAGTACGCACCCTTTGAAAGGTGTGTCTTATAGTGTTTCCCTTATGTAACCTATTTTGGAAAATTGGTTAAAAGTTTACTTTTTAATTTTTTTGAACTTATTTTGAGAAAACATACCTTAGTTATGAATTATGATATTCTTTTTTAGTTATGACTTAGAAAATATGAAATTATGTCATTTTCTTCTTTAATTATAAGGTGCAAATAGTACGCACCCTTTGAAAGGTGTGTCTTATAGTGTTTCCCTTATGTAACCTATTTTGGAAAGTAGGTTAAAAGTTTACTTTTTAATTTTTTTTGAACTTATTTTGAGAAAACATACAAAGAAAAAAAAAATAGAGAAATGATGTGATTTTAAAAAGATTAAAAGCGAAAAACTAATTTTTAACCGTGTTGCCAAAATAGGCCTAGATGGAAATATGCAAAATAATTATAAAGAAATTAAAGGTCAGTTTAGTTTTTAGAAACTTGTTTCAAAAAAAAATTCTAAAAAATGATAAATTAATTTGTTGAAAGAAATAAAAATAAAAATAAAAATAAAAACAAAAACACTTATTATTTTTACATAATTTTATGTTTTGAAAGGTCATAAATATTTTTTAAAAAATTAAAAATATCTTTTTAATATTTATTTATCTCAAATTACTTTCTTTTTTAAAATTATAAAAAAAATCTGAAAAACAAATAATTTCTTAAAATTGAAAATTTCTCTTCTTTTTTGCAGGAGATAATTATATTAACAATGATTGAGACTTCCAAATTTGAATATCCCCATAACTCCTAAAATCATTTGAGCCACTCACGCGAGAGAGATAAACAAATAAACAAACACTTGAGTGACCCAAATCATTTTGAAGGTTATGTGAACATAAATGTTTAAGAACTCTAAATTAAGAACTTTAAATGAGTTCTAATGGATGGGGTCTATCTATTGATATGATGTTTTGATCTTTCTCTTTCTCTTTTTTATTTTTTTTCTCATTATCATATAAAAGGACTCGATTTCGTAATTTACTTTTAGAACTCTCTATCTTTCAGTACTCTGACATGAATTTCTAAAATTGGGTCTTACTTATTTTCCTAACAACAATGATAGAGACCACTAATTTTGGAGCTCTAAAAGATCACTAATGACATGGCACTCAATAAAAAAAGAAAAAAAATACAACACCAAGGTCAAAACATCAAATCATTCATGATGGGGCCCATTACCACATCATTAGTGGCAGCACTAATTAGTGCTCTCACTCATTTTCCTTTTCCTAATCATACACAATTACTGTGAACTCAGCCAAGCTAGGAAGAAGGTGGTTGGGAAGGACGCATTAACTGTCCAATCATACAAAGAATTTAAATGGACGGAATTTATAATTTATGAAAAAATATGTCATCTATTATTTACTTAAATAACTTTAAAAAGTAAGGCGAATAGAGTAGAACAATTCTAATCGGTTCAAAGAAGAAAAATGTTTGAAAGCCCTAGGAAATTAGTTCTAAACCATGCACTAATGACATGGAAGTGTGTGAGGTCCAGTTTGATGTGATGCTTTAGCTTAAATTTTTTTTTTTTTTTATTTTTATTTTTTTTTGTGGGACTGCCAGCTCAGTAGAGCTCTTTTTAAAGCTCTACTTTTAGAGCTCTATAGCATTGTTTTGGGAAGGACGCATTAATTGTCCAATCATACAAAGAATTTAAATGGACGGATTACAATTTATAATTTATGAAAAAATATGTCATCTATTATTTACTTAAATAACTTTAAAAAGTAAGGCGAATAGAGTAGAACAATTCTAATCGGTTCAAAGAATTAGAACAAATTTAAAGTTCTCCATTTTTTAAATAAAATATAAGGATATTTATACACAAGTTATAATTTATAAACTTATATTTTATTAGGTCTTAACTAAGATTTTTTAAAACTTTCAAATTCTATTAAATTTTTAGGAATCGAAATTGTCCTTCAAATAATAATTGTTTATCATCTATGATTATCTATAAAGAAATATGATGATTTGACATTTATTTTAATTTTTTAAATTTTAAAATATCAACTTTCAAATTTTAAAAAAAAATTATGTGAAAAAAAAAAACTAGATTATTTTTTTGAAAATTTTGAAAAAACTGAATCTTTTTTTGTATAAAATTGAAAATTTTGTGTCTATAAAAGAGCATGATAATAGAATATTGATGTGCAAAACTAAAAAAAAAAACTTAAAAAGTGAAAAAATTGATAATGTTTTCAGTTTTAAATCTGAAAAAAACTGATAATGTTCTCGGTGTTATTGGATAATTGAATCAAACCAATAAATAGAAGGCAAAAATGTTTAATCACATGCTCTATTTTTTTTATCAGTTAGTGAAACAATTATTTGGAACATTACTATACAAAATTAATAATTTTCTTAGTTTTAAAAATTAGAAAAAATTGATAATATTATCAATTTTACTAAATAGGACTTATTGATTCAAAAAAAATCTTAAATAGGACCTGAGTTAACATAACATTTATAAATAGAACTTTTAAATAATTAACTCTAAAATATATTTTCATTAAAATCGTGCAAAATCACTTCTCAACAATTATTAAAAGCCCAATTATTGTATACAATGTTGCACAATCATTTTGTTTATAATAATATATATTTTGTCTATTTTAATTTGTCATTGATTACTGCTTGACGTTATTTATTTAGTTAAAATGTTCAAAGGGCATGTTTTGATTGTAGTAATATTTGTGAGATAGGGGAATGAGGGGATACTGGGGTTCCACTGAATTATTTTGTCTGTTATTTGCTTGTGGAATAGCATAGGGATAATCTGGGGTGTGTGTTGTGCGGTTCAGACAGTTTGAGAGTAAAATTATAAGTTGAATGATAGATTGACGACTTAAAACATATTCTAACTAATTATCATATATTTACATAATATATAATACTAATTTGTATAATATTATATATATATAACACAAAGTAATTTTACATAATATATTTCATATATATAACTACTAATTTGTAATAAATTTCATAGCTTAAATATCTCTCATACTCATTTTTACATTGATATTTTATTAGAGGTTAAAAAATATATATATATTAACTATAGCAAAACGGAACGGTTTGGAAGACTATTATAAATTTTAAAGTTTAAACCACGGTTAGCGATTAGAGCGGTGCAAATTGATGCGGATCGGTACAGTTTTAGCAGATTGAATAGTATTTTACACAGTCCTAGGGATAACAACAAAAAAATATCTAGGTTTCACATGTTTTTAATTTGATGTTTGTTTTGAACCATGTTAAAATTATGAATTAAATGAAAACAATAATAAAAAAAAAATAGAGAATTAAATAATACTATAAAAATTGTGGTATCAAGGGAATTAGCATTTTTGAATTATTTTTCACTTCATCCAACGATAATAAATAATTATATTTTTTTATTACATCATAAAATTAATATAACCATACTAGTTATTTTTGGCTGATTAAAATATATTTAAAAATAAATCTTTATTTTAACTGGTCACTTTATCTATTAAGTACTCTAATATTACTCTTTATCTGACTCGTTATCCAAATTAATTTATAATTGATAATGTTTTATGGCATGTCACCCCAGTGATAGAAATGGAGGATAAAAAGATTGAGGTACTTGGGGTTTGGAGCGCTTTCAAAATGTTAAAAACAACAATAAAATGGAGGTAAATTAACTTATTGTCACTTCGAGCTATAAAAATGGAGAAATTCTATCTCACATTATTTTAGTGCATTTTTTTTTTCAGTACATATACTTATTAATCTGATTATTAATTAATTTTTTCAATCCACATATTAAAAATTACAATTATACCCTTCACTCATAATCATTGTAGACACACCACTCAACCCTCCTTTCCTCACTTCTTCTTTCTTTTTTTTTAATGTTTTTTAGTTTGGAGATTTTGGCGTTGATTTTTTAAAAT